GACACTGAGGGTTGTGATCCGTTGCCGGGCACGAAAAAAGACAAAAAGGAAAAAAAAAAAAAAGAAAGAAATTAAAGGAGACACAAAAAATGAAAAGACAACCCATGTTTATGGATTGGAAAAATCATTATTGTCAAAATGACTGTACAACTCAAAGCAACCTACAGATTAAATGCAATCTCCATCAAACTACCAATGATATATTTCACAAAAATAGAAAAAACAATCCAAAAATGTATATGGAACAATGAAAGACCCTGAATAGCCAAAGCAACCCGGAGCATAGAGAATGGAGTGGGAGGCATCCCACTCCCTGACTTCAAATTATACTACAAATCCGTAATAATCAAAACAGCATGGTACTGGCATAAGAACAGACACATAGACAAATGGAACAGAATACAGAATCCAGAAGTAAATCCACATACTCACAGCCAAATGATTTTTGACAAAGGAACCAAGAACATACACTGGGGAAAGGACAGTCTCTTCAATAAATGGTGCTGGGAAAACTGAGGATCCATATGCAGAAGAATGAAGCTAAACCCCTATCTCTCAACATATACAAAAATCAACTCAAAATAGATTAAAAACTTAAATGTAAGACCTGAAAATATAAAGCTTCTAGAAGAAAATATATGGGCAACACTTCAGGACACAGGTCTGGACAAAGATTTTATGAAGAAGACCTCAAAAGCACAGGCAACAAATGAAAAAATAAACAAATGGGATTATACCAAACTAAAAAGCTTCTGCACAGCAAAGGAAACAACCAACAGAGCAAAGAGACAACCTACAGAATGGGAGAAAGTATTTGCAAAGAATGCATCTGACAAGGATTAATATCCAGAATACAGAAGGAAGTCAAACAACTCAATAGTTAAAGAACAAAGAATCTAATTTTAGATGAGCAAAGGAGCTGAATAGACTTTTTTCAAAAAAGGACATACAAATAGCCAACAGGTACATGAAAAAATGCTCAACATCACAAGTCATCAGAGAAATGTAAGTCAAATCCACACCGAGATTTTTCCTTGGTCTATCAGGCCAAGGGCAAGGATAGTGTCTGCTCTTCTCAGTGTGAAGTTTGATAAGTTCTTTATTTTGGGCTCTGCTGAGAGGTGGATTTTCAGTGTAGGGGGATGGGGTGCAGAGCATGCTCTGTCCGTTCTGTGCAGGAATCTGGTGCTGCTCCTCTGGGGTGATCATCAGTTACTGCTCTGTGTGTTGGTGGAACGGGGTCTCTCTTCATGTCTTTGCTCCAGAAATTCATTTATTACTTCATCCTTACATAGAGGGGCGTGCCAGATATTACACTGAGAGAAGATAGTTTACGAAGAAAAAAAAAAACCACAATGAGATATCAATCTCAACCCAGTTAGAATGGCTATTATCAAAAAGACAGAAAATAACAAATGCTGGCGAGGATGCAGAGAAAGGGGAACTCTTATACATTGTTGGTGGGAATGTAAACTAGTACAGGCATTATGGAAAACAGTATGGAGAGCTCTCCAAGAACTATGGATAGAACTACCATACAATCCAGCAATCCCACTACTGGGTATATATCTAAAGAAAAGGAAATCAACATGTCAAAGAGAGACCTGCACTCCCAGGTTTATCGCAGCCGTACTCACAATAGCCAGGATTTGGAACCAACCTAAATGTGCGTCAGTGTGTGATTGGATAAAGAAATGTAGTTTATATACACAATGGAATACTACTCTGCCATAAAAAAGGAATGATATACTGCCATTTGCAACAACATAGATGAACTTGGAGAAAATTGTAAAGTGAAATAAGCCAAGCACCGAAAGAGAAATACCATACGTTGTCACTCATAAGTGGAAGCTAAAAAAGTTGATCTCAAAGAAGTAGAGAGTAGAATAGTGGTTACGAAATCTGGCCGGTTAGCCCAAATGGTTACAGAGCGGTGTTATAACATCAAGGTCAAGGGTTCAGATCCCCTTACTGGCCAGCTGCAAAAAAAAAAAAAAAGAATAGTGGTTACTAGAGACTGGTAAGGGGGATGGGGAAGAGGATATGGGGTGGCCAATGGATACAAAATTGTAGAGAGATAGGAAGAATAAGATCTAGTGTTCTATAGCAATATAGGGTTATTACGGCCAACAACAAATTACTGTATAACTTCAAGTGGCTAATGAGACGATTTTGAATGTTTACAACATGAAGAGGTGACAGATGTTTTAGATGATGGGTATGCTAAATACCCTGACATTACACACTCTATAAATGTACCCAAATATCACAATGTACTCCATAAATATATACAACTATCATGGGTCAATTAAGAAAAAATAAATTAAGAAGAAAGAAAGAAATAGTACAAGAGTGATTGCCAGAGTCAGGGAATGGGAGGGGGGCAAGGAGGAATGGGGAGAGGTTGGTAAATGGGTACAAAATACAAAGTTACAGTTAGACAGGGAGAGTAAGTTCTGGTGCTCTAGGGTGACTATAGCTAATAATATTGTGTATTTCAAGAGAGCTAGAAAAGAGGATCTTGAATGTTATATCCACAAAGAAATGATAAATGTTTAGGCAGTAGATATGCTAACTATTCTGATTGGATCATTATACAATATATTCATGTATTGAAACAACAAACTGTACCTCATAAAAATGTACAATTCAGGGCTGGCCCGGTGGCGCACTGGATAGTGCGCCGCTTGGGAAGCGCGGCAGCGCTCCCGCCCGAGGGTTCGGTTCCCACATACAGACCGGTTCCCGCTCACTGGCTGAGCGAGGCGCGGGAGCAACACCAAGGGTTGCAATCCCGTTGCCGGTCCCCGGTCCGGTACAGGGGCAACACTGAGGGTTGCGATCCGTTGCCGGACACGGAAAAAAAGACAAAAGACAAAAATAAATAAATAAATAAATAAATAAAAATAAAAATGTACAATTCAATAAATAAATAACACAAAAAAATTAAGACCACAATGAAATGCCACCACACACCTATTAAAATGGCTAAAATTAAATAAACTGGGCCGGCCCGTGGCTCACTCGGGAGAGTGCGGTGCTGATAACACCAAGGCAACGGGTTTGGATCCTATATAGGGATGGCCTGTTTGCTCACTGGGTGAGTGTGGTGCTGACAACACCAAGTCAAGGGTTAAGATCCCTTTATTGGTCATCTTTTAAAAAATAAATAAATAAATAAAAAATAAAATTAAATAAACTGATTATACTAAGTGTTGGCAAGGATGCAGAAGAATGGAATTCTCATATGTTACTGGTGTGAGTAGAAAGTGGTACAACCACATTGAAAAACAGTTTGACACTTTTTAAAGTTATAACCCACCTACCACATGATCCAACCAGTCCACTCTGAGTGTTTACCCAAGAGAAATGAAAGCAAAATCAGAAAAAAACAAGGTCCATACAAAGATCTGTACATGAATTTTCATAGCAACTTTACTGTAACAGCCCAAAACTGAAAACAATCCAAATTCCATCAACACGTAAATGGATAAACAAATTGTTGCATATTCATTTAATGGAACACTACTTAGTAATAAAAAGAGATGAGCTATTGATATGCATAACAACATGAATGAATGTCAAAATAATTATGCTGAGTGAAAAAAGCAAGAAAGAAGGGGGAAAAAGAATGCATACTGTATAACTCCACTTATAAAACCCTAGATAATGCAAAGCCAGCTAGTGACAAAAAGCAGATTAGTGGTTGCCTTGGGAGGGGAAGAGAGCATGGAGGAGGGGCAGAGGGAGGGATGACAAAGGGGCATGAGGAAATTTTTGTAGATGATGCATATGTTTATTATACTGATTGTGGTGACAGTTTCAAAAGGGTATACATATGTCAAAACTTACCAAATTCAGCTGGCCAGTTAGCTCAGTTGGTGAGAACTTGGTGTTGGTAACACCAAGGTCAAACATTCAGATCCCCATATCAGCCAGCCACCAAAAGAAAAAAAAAAACCTTATCAAATTGAGGGTGTCAAGACCAATAAATGAGAAAAAGAGTCTTTTCAATAAATAGTGTTGGAAAAAACTAGATTTCCACATACAAAAGAATGAACTTTGGACCCTTTACCTTACACCATATACAAAAATTCATTCAAGATGGATCAAAAACCCAAACATAAGAGCCAAAACTATTTTTTAAAAAAACTCTTAGAAAAAACTGTAGGGTAAAAGATCATGACATTGGATTTGGCAATAATTTCTTGGCTATGACACCAAAAACACAAGCAACAAAACAAAAAAAAATAGGCAAACTGGACTACATTAAAATTTAAAACTTTGGTGCATGAAAGGACACAATCAACAGAGTGAAAAGGCCACCCATGGACTGGGAGAAAATATTTGCAAATCATATACCTGATAAGGGTTAATGGTAAGAATGTACAAAGAACTCCTACAACTCAACAACAACAACAGAAAAAACTATTTTTAAAAATGGGCAAAGGAAGGGCCAGTTAGCTCAGTTGGTTAGAGTGTGGTGTTATAATGCCAAGGTCAAGGATTCAAATCCCCATACTGGCCAGCCACCAAAAAATTAAAATTAAAGTCAAAAATTGGGCAAAGGACTTGAATAGACACTTCTCCAAGGAAGGTATACAAATGGTCAATGAGAACATTGAAAGACGTTCAATATCACTAATCACTGGAAAAATGCAAATCAAAACTACAATGAGATACTACCTCATACCCATTAGGATGGCTACTATCAAAAAAACAGAAAATACGGGCCGGCCCGTGGCTCACTCGGGAGAGTGTGGTGCTGATAACACCAAGGCCACGGGTTCTTTTCCCTATATAGGGATGGCCAGTTAGCTCACTTGGGTGAGCGTGGTGCTGACAACACCAAGTCAAGGGTTAAGATCCCCTTACAGGCCATCTTTAAAAAAAAAAAAAAACAGAAAATAACAAGTATTGATGGGGATGTGGAAAATTTGGAACCTATGACCTAAAAATTCTATGGCACACCCAAAGTAACTGAATGCACAGATAACAAAAAGACTTGTACAAGAAAGTTCAGAGCACCTCATAGCCAAAAACTGGAAACAAACCAAACGTCCATCAGCAGGTGAGCGGACAAAGAAATCAGGGTATGTGCATATGGTGGAATTCTACATAGCAATGAAAAAGAACCAATTGCTGATACACACAACACAGATGAATCTCACCAAGAATGAGCAAATAAAGCCGAATACAAAAGAGAACATACAGTGTGGTTCCATTTACATCAAATTCTAGAACAGGCCACACTAATCTATGGTGTCTAGGGGTTATCTTTGAGAGGACATTGACCGGGAGACTGGACAAAGTAGCCGGCAGAGGTGCTGAGAATATTCAACATTTTGATTTTGGTAGTAATTACATGGGTATGTGCACATGTAAAAATCCATCAACAGGTATACATAAGTATGTGCACTTTACTGTAGGCAAGTTATACATTGATTTTTTTAAAAAGAGAGAGAAGCCTTTTAATTTTTTTTAATTTGGTAAAAAAATATATAGCATAGGGCCGGCCCGGTGGCGCACTGGAGAGTGCACCGCCTGGGAGTGTGGCGGCGCTCCCGTCGAGGGTTTGGATCCCATGTGGAGACCGGTTCCCGCTCACTGGTTGAGCGCGGTGCGGGCGCAACACCGAGGGTTGTGATCCCGTTGCCGGTCCCCGGTGTGGGCACAACACTGAGCGTTGCGATCCCGTTACCGGTCAGTAAAAAAGACAAAAAGGAAAAAAAAAAAAAAAAATATATATATATATAGAGAGGGAGAGAGAGAGAGAGAGAGAGAGAGCAAAAAATTTACCA